TTTCTTCTCTCTTCTCTCTCTTTCTTCTTTTTCTCTCTTATCCTCTCTCCTTCCTCCTCTTCCTCCTCTTCTTCATTTTCTTCTCTTTTATCCTGTCTTATCCTCTCTTATCCTCTCTCCCTCCTCCTCCTCCTTCTCCTCCTCCTCCTCCTCCTCCTCCTCCTCTTCTGTGATTATCATTCCTACTGCATTTATCTCCCTTTCTCTCTTCTCTCTTCCTCCCTTATTATCCTCTCTTATCCTTCCTCCCTCGTTTATCGCCCTTTCTCTCTTCCTCCCTTATTATCCTCTCTTATCCTTCCTCCCTCGTTTATCGGCCTTTCTCTCTTCCTCCCTTTTTATCATCTCTTATCCTTCCTCCCTCGTTTATCGGCCTTTCTCTCTTCCTCCCTTTTTATCCTCTCTTATCCTTCCTCCCTCGTTTATCGGCCTTTCTCTCTTCCTCCCTTTTTATCCTCTCTTATCCTTCCTCCCTCGTTTATCGGCCTTTCTCTCTGCAGCTCAAGACCAACACGGGCCGCCACAGGTACTTTCTCCGCTATTGTCTGTTGCAACGTTGCCTGGCGGACGTCCTGCAACAGTGCATCGCGGACGGGGTCACGACCTTGCAGTTCTACGACGCCGGGTCACTGCTGCTGCGACCGCACTTTGCGAACGACCTGGTGACCTGCCTCTATGCCCTCTCTGACCTGACCTTTGACCTGGCTTCCTCGGGGGGGCACCACGACCTGGACGTCTGCTGGCCGGCTTATGCCAGGTGGAGTTTTGGTTGTTTGTCTTTATTTGTTTATATGTTTGTTTATTTGTTTATTTTTTTGTGTATTACGGCTTATGCCAGGTGGAGTTTTGGTTGTTTGGTTGTTTGTCTTTATTTGTTTATATGTTTGTTTATTTGTTTATTTTTTTGTTTATTACGGCTTATGCCAGGTGGAGTTTTGGTTGTTTGTCTTTATTTGTTTATATGTTTGTTTATTTGTTTATTTTTTGTTTATTATGACTTATGCCAGGTGGAGTTTTGTTTGTTTGTTTGTTTTATTTACTTTGTTTTATTTATTACGGTTTATGCCAGGTGGAATTCGGTTGTTAATTGGTTTGTTTGTTTATTTGTATATTTTTTGTTTGTTACGGTTTATGGAAGGTGGAGTTTTGTTTGTTTGTTTGTTTGTTTATTTACTTTATTCTGTTTATTATGGTTTATACCAGGTGGAGTTTTTCTTTGTTTTCTTTCTTTTTTTTTCTCTTTTTTTTCTTTTCTTTCTTTTTTCTTCTTAATTGATTGATTGATCAAATATATTCACTATAATAATTGATAATAATTTTTTATTTATTAATTATATATATATAACTATTTAATATAATTTCTATATATATGTATAAATAATAATTGATAATAATAATAATTAATGATAATTGATAATAATAATAATAATTAATAATAATAATGATAATCAATAATAATTGATAATAATAATAATAATTTATAATTATTGATAATAATTGATAATAATAATAATAATCAATAATAATTGATAATAAAAATAATGATTGATGATAATAATAATTAATGATAATCAATAATAATTGATAATAATAATAATAATTGATAATAATAATAATAATCAATAATAATTGATAATAAAAATAATGATTGATGATAATAATAATAATTAATGATAATTGATAATAATAATAATTAATAACAATAATGATAACTGTAATTAATTATATTGATAATAATTAAAAATCATATATTATAATAATGATAATAATTAATGACAAGTATTTTTTGAGACAAGTTGATTGATTATTCCCATTTTCTTTGCTTTTAGCTGATTGGTTATTCCCGTTTTCTTTGCTCTTAGCTGATTGGTTATTCCCGTTTTCTTTGCTTTTAGCTGATTGGTTATTCCCGTTTTCTTTGCTTTTAGCTGATTGGTTATTCCCGTTTTCTTTGCTTTTAGCTGATTGGTTATTCCCGTTTTCTTTGCTTTTAGCTGATTGGTTATTCCCGTTTTCTTTGCTCTTAGCTGATTGGTTATTCCCGTTTTCTTTGCCTTTAGCTGATTGGTTATTCCCGTTTTCTTTGCTTTTAGCTGATTGGTTATTCCCGTTTTCTTTGCTTTTAGCTGATTGGTTATTCCCGTTTTCTTTGCTCTTAGCTGATTGGTTATTCCCGTTTTCTTTGCTTTTAGCTGATTGACTATTCCCATTTTCTTTGCTTTTAGCTGATTGGTTATTCCCGTTTTCTTTGCTTTTAGCTGATTGACTATTCCCATTTTCTTTGCTTTTAGCTGATTGGTTATTCCCGTTTTCTTTGCTCTTAGCTGATTGGTTATTCCCGTTTTCTTTGCTCTTAGCTGATTGGTTATTCCCGTTTTCTTTGCTTTTAGCTGATTGACTATTCCCATTTTCTTTGCTTTTAGCTGATTGGTTATTCCCGTTTTCTTTGCTTTTAGCTGATTGGTTATTCCCGTTTTCTTTGCTTTTAGCTGATTGGTTATTCCCGTTTTCTTTGCTCTTAGCTGATTGGCTATTCCCGTTTTCTTTGCTTTTAGCTGATTGGTTATTCCCGTTTTCTTTGCTTTTAGCTGATTGGTTATTCCCGTTTTCTTTTTCCTTTCCTATTAGGTGATTGGCTCTCCACATCTTTTTTCTTTTTCTTTCCTCTAAGCTGATTGGTTCTTTTCTCCCATGACATCACAGAGTGGGCGGGGCTTCCCCCTGGTCCCGCCCTCCCAGCCGGACTTGGTCGATGTCCTCCCTCTGTTCCTCGTCGTCGATGGCGGTAAGTGTGGAAATCCCATGACTTTTACAGGGCAAAGCAGACCTTATGGATTTTTGTCTCGTAGCTTTGTTGTTATTATTTATATTATTATTATATATATGCATATACTTATATATATATATGTAAATATATATATATATATATATATATATATATATATATATATATATATATATACATATATATATACATATATATATACACACACACACACATATATATATATATATATATATATATATATATATATATATATATATATATATATATATATATATTTATATATATATGTATATATATACATATAATATATATAAAAATATTATATATATATATATATATATATATATATATATATATATATATATATTTATATATATATATATTATATATATATATATACACATATGTATTCATATACATGTATGTATATGTATACATATATATATATATATATATATATATATATATATATATATATATATATATATATATTTTTATAGAAATATATAAAGATATATATACATTTACATATGTGTGTGTGTGTGTGTATTTATGTATATTTGTATATTTGTATATATATGGATATATATTTGTTTATACATTATGATAATAATGATGAATATCTTTAATTATATAAATTGCATATTTTGTTTTGTTTATGGAATGAAATCGGTTTAATGTTTAGAAAGGTAAAGATATTTGTAATATTTTTTTTTATGAATGATTTGAGTATGACGTCATTGCAATTAATTTATATATATTTAATAATAAATATAATGATAGCTATCTCTCTATGGTTATTTGATTCATTAATTTATAATTAATTATGTGTATATATGTTTATATAGTTTTCATATGTATATAGATAAAATTTTCCATATTGTATAAATTTCTATATAAAATTTTGCATATATGTATATATATATAAAATTTGCATATATATGTAATTTTTCATATGTATATATATATATAAATTTTCAATATATATATATCAAAATCTATATGATATAATTTTCCTTATGTATGCAAAAATTCCATACGTAAATATATAAATTTTACCATATATATATATATATATATATATATATATATATATATATATATATATATATATATATATGTATATATATTTTTTTTAGGGTTCGTTGGCGCCCGTAGGAGACGTGACGTCACCCGATTCTTCCGTGACGTCACCGTCCTCGCCCGTAAAATCGCCCGACTCTTCCGTGACGTCACCGTCCTCGCCCGTGACGTCATCGTTGTCATTCGCAAACGATGACGTCGCGGTCTCCGGCGTCGGCGCTGGGAAGGGCGACATTGTTACGTTATTGAGGGAGAAATTGGCCCTTATGGAGAGCGACAACCTGTACCTGAGGCAAAGGCTGCTGGGGGTAAGATAAGATGATAATGATAATAAAGAAAAGAAAGAAAAAGAAAGGAACAGAGAGAAAGAGATAGAGAAACAGAAAGAAAGAAAAAGAAAGGAATATATTTTTATATATATATGAATAAATGAATAGATATGTAAATAAGTAAATAGATAAATAAATAAATAGATAAATAAATTGATAAATATATAAATAAGTAATTAAATAAATAAATAAATAAGATAAATGAATAAATAAATAGGTAAATAAATAGATAAATAAATAAATAAATAGGTAAATAAATAAATAAATAAATACGGAATTAAAGAAATAGATAGATAGATAAATAAATAAATGAATAAAATAAATAAGTGATTAATAAGATAAATGGATAAATAAATAGATAAATCATTAAATAGATAAATAAATAAATATATATATATGTTTTTTACTCTCTCCCTCTCTTTCATTTTATCTTCTTCTTCTTCTTCTTCTTCTTCTTCTTCTTTTTCTTTTTTCTTCTTCATCTTCTTCTTCTTCTTCTTCTTCTTTTCTCCCCTTTCTCTCTCTTTCTTTCTTTCTTTTTTCTTTCATATTAACAATTATAGTACTACTACTAATAATGATAATGATAGTGATAGTGATAATAATAATAATAATGATGATAATAGTAATGATAATAAAGATAATAATAAAGATAATAATAATAATAATAATGATAATAAAGAAAAATAATAATGATAATAGTAATGATAATAAAGATGATAATAATAATAATAATGATAATAGTAATGATAATAAAGATGATAATAATAATAATAATGATAATAGTAATGATAATAAAGATGATAATAATAATAATAATGATAATAGTAATGATAATAAAGATGATAATAATAATAATAATGATAATAAAGATAATAATAATAATAATAATAATAATAGTAATGATAATAAAGATAATAATAATAATATTAATATTAATATTCATCCTTGAGCCATTATCACTGAATGAATTCCTGGTCGTTATTGTGATTGTTAAATATTATTATCTTTATTGCTGTTCTTATTAATTAGCATATAATTCCTTGTATTAATTAACTTATTAGTGCAATTATAATTATGATTATTGATATTGCTGATTTGCTGATTCCTTGAGTTGGCGGGAAAACGCGTTTTTCTTTCCAATACTATTAATATAGATATTGCTATCATTCTTATTGGTATTATGAGTATTAGCCCAATCGCCCTGGATTTATGTTCTGTCCCCTGTAGTTTTTTTTGGGGGGTGAATTTTGTTACCTACTGATGGCTCTGCGTGTGCTCGGCCGGCAAGGAGTCTATCAGTAGGCCCTCGTGACCGACCCTGATTTCCCCATTCCTTGATTTGGCGGGAAAATGCGTTTTTCTTATTAATATCATTGATATCGATACTGTTATTATTGTTATTGATGTTATGATTATTAAATTGTTCTCACAATCTCGATAACATTTAAGACAACGGAATAAGGCAAAAGATCCGTTCCAAAAGTCGAGGAAAAAGGTAAACAGATGAGATACGTAGGACTAATAACCGACTCCTTGGTGACTCAGCACTTGTAGAGCCATCTATGTGTAAATACAATAAATAAACTTGCATTACAAGAAATAAACTTGTATTACAATAAATAAACTTGCATTACAAGAAATAACTCGTATTACAAGAAGTAAACTTGTATTACGAGAAATAAACGCGATAAATAAACCCATATTACGATAAATAAATGTTTATTACAATAAATAAACTCGTATTACAAGAAATAAACTCGTATTACAAGAAATAAACTCGTATTACAAGAAATAAACTCGTATTACAAGAAATAAACTTGTATTACAAGAAATAAACTCGTATTATAAGAAATAAACTCGTATTACAAGAAATAAACTCGTATTACAAGAAATAAACTCGTAATACAAGAAATGAACTTGTATTACGAGAAATAAACGCGATAAATAAACCCATATTACGATAAATAAACGCGTATTAGAAGAAATAAACTCGTATTACAAGAAATAAACTCATATTACAAGAAATAAACTCATATTACAAGACATAATCTCATATTACAAGAAATAAACTCGTATTACAAGAAATAAACTTGTATTACAAGAAATAAACTCGTATTAAAAGAAATAAACTCGTATTACAAGAAATAAACTCGTATTACAAGAAATAAACTCGTATTACAAGAAATAAACTCATATTACAAGAAATAAACTCATATTACAAGACATAATCTCATATTACAAGAAATAAACTCGTATTACAAGAAATAAACTCGTATTACAAGAAATAAACTCATATTACAAGACATAATCTCATATTACAAGAAATAAACTCGTATTACAAGAAATAAACTCGTATTACAAGAAATAAACTCGTATTACAAGAAATAAACTCGTATTACAGTGGGCATGGGATGTATTCTTGCCAAACGAGGCGATTGGGTTAAATGCAATAATTATCCATCATTTCTTTATTGTCTCTTCATTTTCTTTCTAGGCTGAATCTCCCTTAAGGCGGAGGGAAGGAGACGGAAGAGGAGAAAGGGAAGACGAACCGATAAAGGAAGGAGGAGAGAGAGAGGAAGAGAGAGAAAAAGAGAGAGAGGAAGAGAGAAAGGAAAAGAGAGAAAAAGAGAGAGAGGAAGAGAGAGAGGAAGGATGTCAGCAATGTAAAATACTGTTGTCCGAAAGGGAAATGTTGGCAGACCAGGTCGCGCAGTTGGAAACGCAGTTGGAAAAGCTGGCGAGAGATGGAAGAGGGAAGAGTGAAGGTAGAGAGGAGGAGAAGAAGGAGGAGGAAGAGAAAGAAGGGGAGAAGAGAGAAGAGCGGAAGGAAAGGAGAGAAGGAAGAGAGGAGGAGAAGAAGAAGAAGGAAGAGAATGAAGGGGAGAAGAGAGAAGAGCGGAAGGAAAGGAGAGAAGGAAGAGAGGAGGAGAAGAAGGAGGAAAAGAAAGAAGGGGAGAAGAGAGGAGAGTCGAAGAAAGGGAAAGAGGAAGTGAAAGAAGAGAAAGAGAATGAAAATCAAGAAGAAGAGAAGGAGAAGAAGTGGACGCAGGTCACAAGAGCGGAAGAGAGGGAGGTCACAAGAGCGGAGGAAGGGAAACAGAAGCAGGCGAATCTCGGGTCAAGTGACTCGAGCGACTCAGGTCATTCGCTTGAACTCAAAGTAAGTTCTCTTTTTGTCTTCGTTTATTATTATTATTATTTATTATTATTATTTCTTTGTCTTCTTCTTCTTATTTTTATTATTATTATTTATTATTATTATTTTTGTTTGTTATTATTATTATTATTATCATT